CTCCTTAATATTGCATATTCCGATTCCAAATTTGACAGTTGTATGGCAGTTGCCGACTCCGACTGAGGATATCGGAAGAGGCTTGTGTGCCTTGGTTGATCACACTAGCCTCACGAGAAGCCCCGCATGCGGGTTTAGGCTTTTTACTGTTTTTAGGCTTTCTGGCTGTGTGCGAGCCCAGATGCAAAAAGGGTTTTTAGGGTTTAGGGTGCTTGCCGTGCAGACATCCTGCTCGCTAATCAAGGCCTTCGATGCCTCTCCGACCTGAGTCTGGGTTGCTGTTCAGGAACTTAAATTAAGTTGCTATATTGGGGAAACCCTATTATTACTATATATACCCATTATGGTAACTTAAACCCTGAACCCTGAACCCTATATAACCCCATTATAGTAGTTTCCATTTTCTTTTCCATTATCCCTATATAACCCCTATGGTAACTGAGTTTAATTTCCTTAACAGCAACCCAGGAGTAGCACCACTGCCTTGGAGGTGGACTGGGAGCAGCAGCGGGTGCTCACACTTGGAGCAGTGCCTTGACGCAAATGAGCTATAGTCTAAACTCCTTAAAGGGGGTTATATAGGGAATTATATAGGGGAGTATTATAGGGCTTATTAAGGGGGATACTAGGAGTTTAGACAATGGCTCAAATTGAGAGATGTTCCAGAAGTCAAGAGATGTTTGATGTCCGTCTTGGCAACTTGCATGAGGCGCCTGGACTGTAATCCCCTGCCATTTCCTTCTGACCAATAAAATCACCCGCCGTAAAACAATCACCGCCCCCCAGTATAGCACCATTCTATACATCAGGGGAATTCATAACCCTAAATCCAAAACCCCCTAAACTCTAAATTCCCTTAACCCCCTAAACCCCCGAAACCCTGATTAGCCGTCATCCGAGGATCCTGTGCTGCGGCTTCGGGATGCCTTCCGCCGCGGAGTTTGCGTGAAGGAACTGCACGGGCACCTGGGAAAACAAAAATGTCCTGAGTTAAGGCCCTCTTGGGTATATTTGCAATACCAGCTACAATTAGGGATGAGCTCGTTTGAGCTCCTTCTAATTTGCCCGAAGCAGAACGGAGAACGGTAGTTTCCCTGCCATATTTGTGGGGCCCCCAAAGCCCTAAACCTTAGTATGGAGGCGCCCCAAAAAAGGTACCCATAATGTTGAGAAACCCTAAAACATATCCCTATAACAGCCCATATATGCACTCTAACCCCTTTAAACAGCACCCATAAATTCGGGAGAACTCCATTCCTTGCACCCTAAACTCAAGTACCCCCAAACCCTATAACCCTGAATTTAGTACAGTTGTGACACTTTTTTCCCTGCATGCGTACAAGCCAGGCAGGAGGAAGAACAACTTCTGAAGTATCATTCTTTGCACAGATGAGGGCTTAGGGTTTACAGTATGCAACGGCGGTTTCCCAAAATTAATGGTACTTTTTTGGGGATCCCCATGAAAAAGGATTTCAGATTGAGTTTAGTATTTGGGGATCTATTTCGCAGTCCGCTTATTTGGGGGAATTACCAAATGTTTCTCCATGCCTTCCCAGACCCCCTAAAGGATCCAAAAGATGTTTCCCGCCAATATGAACCCATGACTACATTGGGGAAACTAGGGGATTATTAGGGGGTTCCATTTTTTGGAGCCTAAACCCTAAACCCCATATACCCCTATATAACCCTATATAACCCCTATAAAGCCCTTTTAGGAGTTCCATTTTTTGGATCCTTTAGGGGGTCTGGGTGAGGCCTAGCAGCGACGACATCTTGTGCATGGCAGTTGGCTGGGCTTCTCTGCAGGCATTGTGCCCTGGATGCTACTCATGACGCTGTTTGCCGGCCTTTCTGACCCAGGGTTAGGGCTTAGGGTTGCATAATGGACCCTAATATTATATCCAGCAAAAATGAAACTAAATGTTCCTAAACAGGGACCCCCCCACCAAAGCCCCTAAATCCTAAACCTGGTTCGCGTCCTTAAGGACCGCCGGCGGTGATTGTCAGCTGACCCTGTGGGACCTTCGTTCCTCGAAGGCAACCTCGCTTCATTTAGGGGGCAGGCATGTATTAGGTGGACCCCCCACCCAGTAATAGTGACTATAATGGATAATAGGGATTATATTAGGGTCCTCTCATATTCCTACTATACCACTATTACAGGGTGGGGCGTCCTCCCAAGGCATATATTACGTTGAGAGAGAGAGATATGTTGGGAAATATATAGGGATGTTCTCCCCAACGAGGGAAACTGGGACCATGGACATCACCCCTTAGCTGACGCCATTGCAAGTCCGTACCTGAAATCGGAGCAGAGAAACCTTGACATAGACAGATTGCCTGACATCTTCTGCGGCCTACACCCAAAACCCCAAATAGTAGTTTCCATTATCCCGATATATCCCTATGCTTTGGAGCACCCCATGTCTTTGGCTGTAGAACGTTGATCATGACAGGCTCTACCTCTACTATCAGCGGGTTTGTGGCCTTCATTTGGTTTCCATCGTGCTTTTCAGGCAAGTTTCCGGATGTCATGCCTGTGTGGGCACCAGCACAAGGTCTTGGCACAATGAAGCCAAGTCCTTCTGCGCGGAAACAGTACGCAGGAACAGCCTTCTGGGAAGCGAACCCAACGGTTGGGGAACGCCCACGCCATAACCTGGTAATACCAGATAGTCTCCCATGATTATTCATTTAAAGCACACCAGTGTTCGTAATATGCTTGTCTTCCTTAAAAGCATGTTCATCCTCAGCCAGCCGGTCCGAGCCGATATATAAGAAAGCAAACGGCCACATGTTCATATAGACAGATTAGGTAGAACAGCGGAGAATCAAATGGAAATGAACATCAACAACTCAATGGACACGGAGTATGTAGTATCACCATTGTCCAATATGGAAACAACCATGGACAACCAGTGGTTTACAGAGATTGATGAGGTTACTGGTGGATAGCAGGGAGTAAGAGAATATGATCCTTAGGTAATATATTCCATCCTTTCCTGATACCCTAAACCCTAAACCCATACTAAGTTGGTACTGAAAAGTCTTCAGGTTCTACGCCGCTTTCCTGGCCATAGCCAGGCAGTGCGTTGTCTCCAAGCCGCACCCTGACGGCAGCAAACAAGGAATGCGGGTTTCTGAACAGGGTTTTGTAGGGATGTGTTTCTATATATATGTATATACATATGTTTTTCGGGTTTGGGATTCAGGGTTTCGGGTTTACGGATTAGGGGTTCGGGTATCCCAAAATTAGGGGTACCCTTGTAGGGGTCTCCTTAATAAGCATTATAGGATTTGAGGGTCTATATTAGGGTCCCCCTGTTTTGGGGGACATACCGAATCAGTAAGCTTGGTAAATTATCCTGCAGTGGCAACAAGTATACCCACGTCGTCTAATCAAAGTAATCATAGTTAAAACACAGCAGCAGTGTAATATTCATACCTCCTCCCAACTAATCAGCATGGAACCTGAAATAGGCCTTTTGCAAAACGGTAGTAGTTTGTATAGGATCCCTTTCAGGCTCCATGTTACTCAGGGGCCTCTAAACCCTAAACCCTAACCCTCAGTCTGGGGAAAGTGTGCCGAGAGTTTGAGGACTGGAAATTTCGGCGAGCTTTGAGCGGCAGCTGCGACCGCAGCCTGCTCCTGTGGGATCTGGATTCTGGCCAGGCAATTTGAGGGTTTCCCAAATTAGGGGTACCTTTTTGCGGGCCCCTATAATGAGGACTATAGTATTCTGGGGCCTAAATTAGGGTCCCCTTATTCTAGGAAACTACCGTTTCTTTCTGAGGGCTAGGGATGAAAGATTGGGGACTAGGGTTTAGGGTTTGGAGATATATTAAACCGAAAATCAAATGGAAAAGGCCATGGGAGATTGAACAGCAACTTGGCTTATGGAGTGGTTTATAGGGCTCAGGGGCCTCTTTCTGGGGGTCTCTATAATGCGGATTATAGTTTTTGGGAGTCTACCTTGGATCCCTACTTATGGAAACCTCCATGTGTAGGGCAGACCTGTTTGCGCAAATCTTTGGCGTCAAGAGTCGTCCGCCCAGGAAAGTTGTCACGCTGAATGACACACATGCTGCCTCTGCTGTAGAGGAAGTTGAGTTCATGAGAACCCTAGACCCTAACCCGGGATTAGCTGGGACAGACATTCTTTGCTGTGCCTGCACTGCTGTGCGATGCGCGTGTCTGAACCCTAAAGACAGGGTCCGCAATCACAAGGGCACAGGTATCTCATCGAGCCCCAGTATGTATGTATGGGAGTTCCCAAGATTAGGGATCCCCCTTACATAACCTGTAAAATCAGGATCTCCAAAAACTGGGCACCTAATTCGTGGGAGACCCCCACATTAGGCCCTAAACCCTCCCTAGAACTTCAAGTTGTGTGAGAGTGGGGCAGGTGCTTGCCCATCTCAGAGGGCATAGTGGCAGTGTGGACTGCACCCTGACCGAACATATGAATCCCCTCCAGATTTAGGGTTTAGTTTAGGGCATGTCCCTTAGAATGCCCCCAGGACCTCCCAAATAATCACCCTCCAAGTATGGTACCAGTATAATGAATATTTACGATTAGAGGGGGGTAGGGGGGCTCAATCTGAGGGGTAGGGGATCAGATTGCATGTGACGTATATGAGCATGGATACATTTTCAGAAATACCACAACAAGCATGATGCAGTATGTGTATATATTTCTACACCCATACACGCACACATACACACACACATATATATATATGTATATATATATATGCATATGAGATAGGCTTGCTGCAGGTCTGTGTGGAGCTCAGCAGTTATGACTTGATAAGGCTAAGGAGATTCAAAGACTTTAAGTTTGTACCCTTAATGTTTGTACCCCTAGGTTTTGGGTCCCAAATACCCTTACTAAGGGCCATATTCCATGGTTTACGGACCCAAACCCCAGGGTACAAACCCTAAGGGTACAAAGGAAAACTCCCTGAGAGATTGTACATGCTGTCTTCTCAGCTCCCAGGCCTTGACGTGACCTGGTCTGCTCAGCGTGCTCTGACGGGCGGCGCCGATCATGTCTTGCGGCATCTGGGCTGGGGGTTATAAGCATGAATACATGTGGGCACTTCCCAAAATTAGGGTCCCATTTTGGTACCCCTACATATCAGGTGCCGTCATATAATCCGTAACCAAAGGGGCCCATAATTTCGAGAATCACCAATGTGTTGTTCGTCCGGTCAGGGGCTCCTTGACGAGTGACAGGCTGATGAAGCCTATGCCTCGTGCTCATGTGGTATGATGACCTCAGGCTTCTGATGTCTGCGAGCCGCCTCATTAAGAGGGGAACTGTCCTGTAGCATCATTGCATCTTGGCAGTGGAGAGCCCTTCCTAGCGTCCTAGAGGAAGCTGCCAAAACCCATGCACAACAGCGTTCTGTTGATCATGCAGTTCTGTGGACAATAGCCATTCTGACAAAGACCATTCGTAAATCAAACCAATGACCCAATTTGCCTCAGCCTCAGGCTGTGGGATTTTTCGCAAGCATCTTAGCTGCGGTTCAGCAAGTTGAGGACAGTCAAGGATGGGTCAGTCAGCAGATATTCCTGCGCCTTAGCTAAACTTTTTGGCTCCAAGTAGCCCTCAATGTAGGTATTAGTCGCAGAGTCAGAGACCCAGGGTAGTATGGTAGTTTCCTAAAATCAGGGGAACCCCCGTATAGACCCCCAAATGCCATAAGCCTTCTTATAGGACCTGCAAAAAGGTACCCCTCATTTTGGGAAACCCAATATCAAGAGCGCAACAACGGCAGAAACCTTGCAGCCGCGTTTGAGACACTTTTTCATGACAGATGGGGCCTCAAAAATTGGTGTTCTTTTTGGGGGGCTGCCAAAGAAAGGATTTAAGTATTTACAGGGCTGTATTGGGTTCCCCCTGTTGCAAATTTCCAAAACCCCTATGTAACTCCAGTTGCCATTTAGTTGTTGATTCTCTTTTCCATTTGATTCTCCATTAATTATTGCGGTTGAGATATTATCTGGATGTCTTCAAACCCTAAATCCTAAACCTAAATCCCAAACTCTAAACCCTGTTCCCTATTCTGCCCAAGCGGAGGTGTCGAGCCAGGCGGTACTACAAGGCCACAAGGCTGCGGTTCGCAGCGTACCCTTACTGCACTTTCAGGGTTCTTGTTTGCTCTCCTAGGCCCTAGGCCTTTTACTTACTCGGGGTTAGTAGGGAATAAGGGACTCTGATATATTGGGATTATGGAATCTAAGCCCTAAGCCCTAAAAAATGATTATATTCCCTTATTCCCTACTAGCCCCCAAGTAGTTTATGAAGTAAAGCTTTCAGGGGTTGCCATGCTTCAAGCCAGAAATTCATCCAGGTGGTACTATATAGGGTATATCCACTATACAGGTTCCTTAGCCCTAAACAACAACAAGCAGTTCCCATGTTCTTTTCCATTCCCTAGGCACAGAATCCCGTGCCATTTGGTTCCAGACACGTTTGCGAGTCCATGCGTATGACTGCCAGCGCTCAAATGAAAAGATTTCGGCCCGAGAAGGACGTACAGAGTAGCGTGAAGTCTTTACTGCACTGGCTCGGCCCACATGCCTGAGATGCGCAGAGCTCGGATCACGCAACATGAAGCACATGAGAACTGATGGCAGATGTTGGCCTGCTGTTGCCCGCCCCCTCTGCAGGTCTGGCGAGCAGGATCGGCCTGTGTTGCTCTTGCTGGTATCAGCTGGTACCGCTTGCAAGCTTTCACGTCTCCAGGGCATCTTAGACCGTGAACGCTACACAGGCAGGATTAAGTCCTGGAGGCGGGGCACGCCCGCCACCCAGACCTTGACTTTGTAAGGTACACTTGTCTTCAAGGTGAGAAGTGGGGTCTAGGTTGTCCCATGTGTTTGTGGTGCATGTGTGGCAAGGTTTGGCTTTATCACATGCCCGGAACTGGCTTCCAGATTTAAGCGCGACGTTTACATGTCGCGAGCCGTGTGGTTCTCGGCCTCACAGGCGCGGGTTGCAGTCAGATTGAGGCCTCTTGCTAGTAAGGAGTACAAAGATTGGGCGATCGGCACCGCAGTCAGCTTCAGTCTGGTGGTCACCGAACAGGGTCACGGCCTCGACCACCATGGATTCTCAGCTGGCTTAGTAACATGTCGTGACGCAGGCAAGCCCCAGGCGCGAGACGTCCGCAAGGAAGTTGACTCCGACGGCTCGGCCGCGTCGTCCTTGCCTCGCAAAGGTGAGTTTGCCAGCAAAATGTAGCAGCTTTCTACTTGTGAGGCCAGCGAGTACTGGCAGCTGCAGCCTGAGTTGCGCGCGTTTCTTCTGCATATTTCCTTTTTTTGGTTTGGTTGTCTGCAGGGGCTTCCGCAGATCTGTGGTGCCAGCCTGGCACACAAGATGCAGCCGAAGAGGCCCCAGACCGCCTTCAGTCCTGGCCTCGGCCGCAGAGAGACGGGCCCTTGGTATCCTTTTGTTTGGTTGGAGCCTCCAGCTAAATCCACAGCAATCAGTAAAATGAACAGCACATGATGCCGGTTCCCGGTTCGCCAAACCCCCCTCCCCCCCGATGGTATCCAACCCACCCATGCTTCAAAAGAGTCAACAGTCACAGGGATGGGGCCCCGGCCCCTCGGGGTTGTCATCCTCGTAACTGTCGTCGACTTTAGAACTTTAGATGCCTCAAAGCCGCCATCCTCGCAACTGTCGTCACTTTTAGCCCCTCGTGCTTTTGTCGCGCCTCAAATACCAAGCATCAAAGGGATCGGGGCGGTCCTCATCGCGATCCTCGCAACTGTCATCGCTGTTGAAACCTCATATTGTTGTCTCAGCTTTACAGTCACATTCACAAGGATCAGCTTGGTCCTCATCTTGCAGAAAGCTTCTACAACCCTGTGTAAACCTTCTTGAAACTGTTATAAACCTTCTATACACCCTCCAACAACCCTCATGTAAACCACAAGGCCCAGACTACAGGCCACAGGGTCCCGGCAGGGTAATAGTTCAATCCTATGCGAGAGCAGAGAAGATGGGTCATGTTCCTAACCCCGAACCCCTAAGCCATATCAAGACCACACTGCACTGCACAGACCACCTATGCTGTGCTGGTGCGGGGGAGGCGCCCCCTCCCTCCTTGGGGTGGGGGGGGAGCAACGCGCCTAGATCGTATATTTGAAGGGAAAGTTCAAATGGAAGTGCCGCAGGACTGGTATAAATCCACAGATGCTATTACCGTGCAGCGCTGAGGCCAGCCCCCGTCTCAAGGACTTCCAGCCAGGCTCTGCCGAGCCAGCGGGTGCGGTCCACCAGCTGGGCCGATATCGTCGACGAGGAGGACGAAGACCATGAGGACCTCTCGGGGCACTTGGCTAGGGAGGCGATGCACCTGCCTTACTATGAACAGTAACTGTTGATGAGTTTGTTGGCCGTGACGTGGGAGGATCCCGCACCGGAACCCATGCTGGAAGCAGCTGCGCCTGCTGCAACGGCAGCTGCACCAGCTGACATGGAGTCTCCGGAGTCTGAGACCGCCCTACGCGGCTGCGCGAGCTTGATGAAGGCTCTTGTGGAATGTGCAGGGCCGGGCGTGGAGTGAATGCTGGATGCCCACCTGCCAGGAGTACAAGGCGGACCCCCAGCTGCAGGGATTCCAGAGGTTGTACGCCCTGGAGACCGCCATCGCGAACCGGCATGGCGAGTCCATGCAGGCGCCTAATGGACAAGGTGAGATCATGGAGGTCCCTACCCAGACGTACCTGGAGCAACAGGGCAGCAGGCCGGAGCACCCGGGAGCTTGATAGAACTGTCAAGCTCTGGTCTTCTTGGCGCACGGTTGTGTGCCAGGTTTTTGACACTGCCCCTGACCTACCGGACCAGGGGAGGCTTGGATCTTGTCAACTTGTCTTCTTGCGAAATCTTGATTTGTGACGACGTGCGCAGCCGTGCGCGGCATCTGTTTCTGTGGGCTCTGTGAGAGAGTGATTGTCCTTCAGACCTCTCACTGAGTGCAACTGAGGTGAAGATGTGGTCGACAAAACTCCCAATGCCTGGGAGGTCCACACATGTGTCTTGCATTGGTGCAGCGCGGCAGATCTTGGATTGCAGAATGTATGCGCCTTGAGGGAGAGGGCATTGAGGACTTCGGATTCGCATGCAACGAGGTTGGCTGGCAATCCCAGTTGTGAGTGGGCCGCTGGATGTTGAGCCAGGAGACGCAAGTAGCAGCGCAGCCGCATGTGGTACTTCCAGCAGAAGTCCGGCCAGCGCATCGTCCGGCGACGAAGCGAGCGCTGCACGTCAGCATGGCTCGAGCCTCAACGTTGCATGATGTGAGCTATAGTCTAAACCCCTAAAAAGGGGGATTATATAGGGGATCATATAGGAAACTACTATAGGGGTTATTAAGGGGGATACTAGGAGTTTAGACTATAGCTCATGTGACATTTGAGTGATCGGGCTCTTCGCTTTGGGGCTGCCGGCTTTCAGCTCTTGACAAGGTGCAGGCTACCACGGCAAGGCCCAACAGCTGCCTGCTTTTGGGAAGCCCCGCTAACCTTGAGAGTCTTAGCTTGAAGCGAATCTGCCGGAAGGGTAAACGCTGCCTGTTCAGCAGCCGCGGTGGCTGCAAAGCAGCGCGAGGCTTTGCAGGCCTGCGCTTAGTGAGGGTTGGAGATGTACGTTCTGGTGGCAATTTTTCACTTGGCTTGGCAGGAGCGAAAGGACCTCTTGGGCTTGCCTCCTCTGGACCAAGCGCCAGCGAAACCAGCATGGCCATCGCAGGTGGTGCAGCCTCGCAACCTGCAGCCTTGGCCCCTGACCCAAGCCCAGAGCACGCATGCGTCAGCAACAGTGTTGGTTCAAGCCCAGCCGCAAACCGGCGTGCCAAAGCCGCCGCAGACTCAGTTGCATGTGATGTCTGAGATTTTGCCTACTGCGTTGACATCTTTTCCTGAGGCCCAGTGGCCCTCCGCCTGCCAAGCTCCAAGAGCCGCCAGGGCCTCCAACTGAGCCGCAGAATGGCTCAGTTCGCGGCCTGTCAGCCAAAGCTCCAGCCTTCCAGCCTGGCCATGCGTGGCACAAAGCACCGCCCGCCCAGTGCCCAGAGACCACGTATCCCTTTCCCGAACACAGGGACCAACACTGCCACCAAGTGCCGGTGGAAAGGGGCACTATCATGTCCATGCCGCCTTCAGTGCAAGCTCACCCGCTCGTTCTTCCACGCACGCCTCTGCCGGCAAACCAATGGCCATCCCAGTCCTCAAATCTTGGGTCCCATCCAGCCTTTTCCCAAGCACATCCCAGTCATGCAGCGAAGGACTACCACCCAGCACGTGCGCACATGGGCCCAGGCACGAGCAGCATGTCGGCGGACTCCTACCAGCCCATTCCGCAACAAGTGGCCCTGCATGGAGGCCCTGCACCTGCCCAACGCAGGCAGTATGAGGAACGTCCAGCTCCACGCCACCACCCGGCACGGAATTCAAGGTGTCCGCAAGAAGCAGAGACAGGGCATTTGGATGACAGCTGGGGACCGCAGGATTGGCAGCAGGAGTGGCGCGGGCAGGATTGGGAGGCAGAGTGGTGGCGGCAGGGCTGGAGGGGTGCATGGAGTGACTGGGCAGCAAGTCTGAGCCAAAATCAGGGCAGCAAAGGTGGATGGAGCTCCTGGCAGGCATGAGCAGAGTGCAGAAGCTTTGTGCAGCGAGCATGTCACACTGAATGCGCAGCAAGCTGCCAGACGTTGCCAGGAGAGAGGAAAGCGACAGTTGAAAGGTTGGGGCGGTGAGGGCACAAAGGTGCAGCAAAAGTGGGGGCCGTAGTTCCATTCAACGTGCCAATCTGCTGGCTTTATCCTTATCATGAGTGCTCCCAATGAGGCCACCTCTCCGCCAGCGCAAGTTTAGCGATGAGGCAGTACCAGAAAAGCAGGGCCAGCATGCAGCTCTGGCAGGGTTATAGCTGAAGCAGGCGACAACATGCTCCACGACCTCCGGTTCCTCAAGCTCACCGCCAAGGAAACAGGCGCGTTGCAGTAACAGGTCGGTGTCACCCCGATAGCACCTTGCAGCATCTTCTGGCACTGGCAAGGAGAACTCCGGAATGGGCAAAGGACCCGCCGCTTAAGTCTGTTGCAGTGTAGCCAGATGCGTGCTAGCTTTGCAGGCCAGGGAAAAGCGGCCAGGGCAGCACTTCGTCAATCGATTGAGCAGCAGAAGCAGCAGGAGGCCCCATCAGCATGCTGATTGGCACTCAATCCGTTGGGCAGATGTTGCAGGCAGACCGCACGAACAAGGTGCGGCAGCGCCGTGAGGCAGGCGGCCAGGAGGGCGCTGGCTGAGTTAGGCGGATGGACCTATCACGTCAGGGTCGCGGATCTGTTCGAACGTGAGCCATTTGAGCGCAACGAGGCCGAGAATGCTTTCAACTGTGGGCTGCCTTGTTTGTTTCGCTTTCTTTTGCTGCTTCGGCAGCTAACACCCCAGACATGTCCCAATAGATTCTGGACACACCCGCAGGCACAGCTAGGACATGCACTTGTAGCCCAGACACAGCCCAAACAAATTCCGAACACACCTAGAGAAGGCCTCAGACACGTTTTCCTCACCTGGGGAACTTGTTCGATCGTTGGAAGGTGCAAATCCACAAACTTACCTACAGGACATTGATGCAGTTGTCCGCACATGCGCGCACGTTTCTTAAGGAGGTCGCCATGCTTGTGTAGCATCTGAACGCGTGATCGCATTGGGTCCAGAGCTTTGCTGGTTTAATCTTGTTGTCTGGGATTGGAGCCTGCCGGCGAGTCTTCAGTCACCATGGTGAGGCCGGTCATCATTCTTGTGCGCTCTGGTGAGTATGTTAGCAAATTACAGCGAAGCACGGCGAAGCCATGAAACTCGTCATGCGATTTTTGCGGGGTGTGTCCTCGCTGTAAACCTGATGGCAGGGACCGTATCAGGCTTTGCTTAGCTTAGAAGGCAGAGCACCGCTCACAGGCGTCAGTCAGCCAGTCAGTTAATCCATCCATCAATCAATCAATCAATCAATCAATCCGTGAGCCGATGGCGGATCTAGAATGACAGACACCTTGAATTGAATCCAGAAATAAGAAACAAACATTTCGCACATTTTCCAAGTGGACATAGCCTCAGCCCCATCTTGAAATCTTTGAGGATTGCAGGAAAAAGGTAATGGGAGCAGGCTGCGTTCAAAAGTAGGCGATTACTCTGCTTGCTACCGCACAGAACATAAGGAAGCCTGCCTTATTTACATGTGCCCAAATGTGGAATTTGAAAGGGTGCCCGAATGTGAATGTTCCTTGTAGGTGCAGGGATAAATGAATAAATGCTGCATCCTAAGCATCCAGAGGGTCTTTGTGCTGCCTTTGGCCGTTACTTGTCATACAGGGCCTCTGAGGGGATGTCATCTAGGGTTCATGGGGAGTATAGGGATTCTGGGGAGTGGAGTGAGCTTCTGAAAATCAGAAGCTTTTTGGGTGTGCATGTGTCGTGGATGGGACTGTATTCGGCTCTACGGTGGGGTCTCCCTACTATTGGGCACAAAGCATGCTGATTAAGAGGTGCAAAGAGCAAGAATATTACAATAGCCAACATTGAAAATCGGAATTACAAGCGGCTATGCGGGGAGTATAGGGGTTACGCGCAGTGATTTTTCTCCTATGCGGGGAGTATGCTGGGCCCCAAACCAAATATCCCAATACATTGCTTTGGCTGCCAGGCTTCGTCACCTCGGGGCAGGGCAAGTTTCACCCAGATGAAAAGTGTACTGGTGCATGCAACTGAATCCGCAGGAGAGAGAAAAGTGCAGTGTAGTGGTGCTGGTGATGGCGGGGTGGTGGCAGAGGTGAAGATCCTAGTCATGTTCATGTCGTTCGATTTGATGGTTGGTTGGAGTGATCATGGTCGTAGGTGCTATAGAGTAGAGGCCCTTGCAGCCGTGGGAGCAGGAGCTGAAGAAGCTGAGAAGTTGTGGTGTCAGTAGCAGTTGTAGGCTGCAGGGCCATTAGTAGTGGCTGTAGTGGTAGTAGTAGATGTAGAGAAGTACCTAGACTCCAAAAGTATGTAAAATCATAGCCCTAAACGCATAATAATGGCCATAAAGGCCATTATTCTACATACTTTTGGGGGCCCAGGTAGTAGTTTTCGTCGTACTGGTTACCCGAATACCGGTAAGCTGCTGTAAAAGATGGCTCTGTGTGTCCCATCCTCTCCTGGCTGTGCCTTGAAGGCAGCGGGCCATCGGCCCAAGGGGCTTTAGTTCTTGCAATGCCAGTCTCACGACCAAACAACACAACCAAAAAATGATGCTGGACTCTCTGATGGCATTCGACACGTAACTTATCGCAGGAGTGTGCGAGAAAGAGTACAGAATCCCTAGATATCACAGTGAGGCAGACCGCGCCGTCCAAACACGTTCTGAGCGACACAACAATATGAGCTATAGTCTAAACTCCTTAAAGGGGGATATATAGGGGATTATATAGGGAACTACTATAGGGGTTATTAAGGGGGATACTAGGGGTTTAGACGATAGCTTATATGCCACATACCCCCAAAACAGAAAGCCCTCCAGGTGAGCTTGGGTGCCTGGGGTAGTATCCTTAAGAAAACAGTACACCTATATAGGTCCCATAAAAGCCGTACGTTCCATATAGCCCCCTATATCCTATACCTAAAGCCGCTACTCAGGTGAGCTTGAACTGGCCAAAGAGGCAAGCTGCCAGTGCTGGTGACGATGCGGCTGTGCGCCTTTGGTCAGTGGCCCGGAGATCGCCCCGCAATGTCATAACATGCGGATACTCATATGAGATGCAAGGCTTATCTACATACACATATCTTTTTTATATGGGAACAGATAAGCACACACATATAGATAGATATATATATATATCTTATTTGTATACATATTCAGATATTCATGTAGAGGAATGCTACCCCATGTCATGGAGTGGCATGGAAACAAAGCTGAAGTAGACCTCAAAACTAGGTCGGTATTTTTGGGCCCTTACGGTACGTACAATTCCTCCTGAAGACCTTTAAGAAAAAATCATTCGGGCTCAGGTGCTTTCTCTCCTTCAGGATATAGCCTCCCTTAAGTATAGAAAAATGGCTTTGGGTATATTGCAATAAGATACCATGTTCCCCATATTCTATCTACTTAAGGGGGCTGTATTCAAATGCTTGCTGACGATCTGAGAGTCTCCCTGCAGAGGTGCCTTGAACAGCGAAGCTGCACACAGATCTTGGCACATGACGCGCCTGTGAGGCTGTCCTTGGTGGTACTATAGGGGCAATATAGGGGCACCATAGGGGCTATACAGGGGCTATATAGGGGTTATATAGGGCTGCTCAGATTTGATTGCGCTGGCGCAGTGCAAGGTAAAATTCAAAGCCAGTTAACATGCAGTTTGGAGTTTCGAGGTGCTTGGACGTGGAGTGGTCGACTGGGCAGCTGCTGAGTGGCAGTCTGGATGGACTGATGCGCCTATGGCGCCTCAGCTCGACGGACCGGCTGTGGATGTTAGATCAAGACCCCTGAGGGATCTAAAGCATGGAACCCCCAATATGAGACCAGTGTTACATTAGGGATATAATTCCGGGTTTTTGCAATTCCTAGCTCGTGACCCTGTAGGACGAAGATGCAGGTAGTAATCCTGGAAGCTTTTGGATATGTGAGCAGCAGTCATGTGCGCTGCTCCGTTGTCAAATCTCACTGTTTGCAGATTTTCTACTCGGCAAGCCCTAAACATTGAAATCTAAACCCAAAACGTACACCCTAGACCCTAAACTCCTAAACACTAAACCCTGAGCAGGAGTATGTGCAAGAGTTTGAAGGTCACGAGAGAGGCCCGACTCACACTTTCCAGGGCTTCAGGTTTTAGGGACAGTTTCAGATGCCTTGGACCGCAATTGTTTAGGGTTTAGGGTTTAGTATGAATGCAGTATTATATATCACACATTTTCCTAAAGTGTCAGCCTGGTAATTTCCATGAACAAGAAACGCCAACATGGACCCCAGAATGCGCTAATCCCTTTTTTTCGTGGGGACCCCCAAGAAGATGCGTCTTATCTTGGGAAACCCTAAACCCTGAATATCCACTTGAATCCTAATTCTTCACTGTAATAGTTGTACAATAGATATATACGAGGATCCTAATATAATCACCATCATCCACCCAGATCCTAAACACTAACCCACCCCATCAAAAGAAAAATATACATCCTTATAAAACCCTACATCCCTAATCCCCAGACCCTATAGGCCCTTAACCTTGTATATCCTCCTTACAAAACCCTATATATTTCCTTTTTCACCCTATCCTATCAACCCTATGGTACTGGCAGGCGTGTCATGTTTGAGCGTTGACTGGAGCTCAGACCTAGCAATCTCTGGAAGTCTGAAGCTCAGCATAGCTTGGGGATAGAGTAAATCCGCTTAGGGTTTAGGATTTAGGGTTCAGTCCAGGATGGGCTTGGGGTTTAGGATTTAGGGTGAAGGCTTTTCGGGTTTAGGATTTACGGTTTAGGGCTTAGGGCAGGAATGGGGAGACAAGTGGGGAACTATGCAATGGCAATAAGATCGCTGCATCATGGTATACGTATAAATGTAAATATATATATATATACATATATCTATACATCTGGAGTATGCTGGGATGATATCCAGGTCCTCTAACCCACGCAGCTGTCCCAGAGATAGTGTACGGTAGGGAATGGAGTGGACAAGAAAAAACATTTTCGGTGTTTCTGTCGGGTTAAGGGTTTTGGGTTATATCGGAACTACTTGGGGCATAGTTGATAACAGTTTCTCACGAAAGCTAGCTCTCTTGGAGCTTGCGGTAGTTCGCATTTACAGGTTCTCTAGGTGGACATGCGCCTCCGGATCAATTATTCAGGCTCCCCTTCCTTGATCATTGATTTAATCAATAGCAAACCCCTTCC